CCATAGTAAGGGTAGCAAGTACTCTTTCTTGTTGTTCAATTTTATCGAATTCTTCATCAGTATACTCTTTGATAGCCTTATCAACGATTGTTTTATCCGGAAGTGTCGTGGTGATTCTGATAGGACCCTTCAAAATACATCTCTAAATTTTGAAATCTTTCATCTTGATATATTTCTCCATATGATACTTCCATTCTAGAAACCCATCAGTTGATAACAAATGGGGTATGCGAGTGGTAGTGCCTATAACTGAATCAAGTTCATGATGAGAATTTGGTGAATCCATTTTTTTAATTTTCTGATTTTTTTTTTAATTTTTCTAATTTTTTTAACTTGAAAAACCAAGAGTTAAAAAAAATAGTTAAAACAAGAAAACTGTTTACAGCCATAATCAGTTCACATCTTGAGTAGTTTACGGCCGAAAGCTGTTTACGGCCATACACTAGATTATTGTTCGATAGATTGCGTTTAAACAAGAGTTTTCGGTCCTTGAAGACTCATAGTTTACGGCTTTTGAAGATTAGCTTGTTTACAGGCTTTGAAGATCAATAGATTACAACCGTGAATGGTGTTTACGGCCATACTCCCTTCAACAATTCTAACCATAAACCTCCAGAAATGATGAAAACATGAGTTTTTCCAGCAGTTTTTGATCCCCTTAGCTATGAAAACACAATCTTAATGTAGAATCAAGCCTTGAACAATGAAGAAACTGAATATCTTTCAACCTTAAACACAACTGAAATGTGTTTTGACACCATATTTGCTCTGATACCAATTCTAAGGTCCCAATTACGAGAATTAAACCACTGATCAAAACAAACAACAGTAAGAATGACTAGAAGAACAAGATGGTCAAGCAATGCACACGTTCATTCACTAAAACGCCGAGTAAACCTTGAAGATACATACACTCTGACATAAACACTATGAAATGTCACTCGATTCGTCAACCTTCTGACATAATCTGATATAAACTATATATAGGGAACAACTGGCCGTAAACAGGTTTACGGTCGTAAACCTGTTTACGGCCGTAAACACCTACTCAGCCGTAAACAAAGCTAACATCAACAAAACATGACCATGAACCCATTAAGACTTATAGCCCAAACCACAAAATAATAACCTATCATATGTTAATAAAAATGGTAAGTTAGTAGGTTTTTGCTCTTTATCATATTTGTGATTAACGTTACTGTTTTTAGATTTTATTTTGTAGCTTGTTTTGATACTAGGTTTCCACAAATTTTAAGCATAAATTAGATATAAAGTCTTCTTTTCTTGAAGTAGTTTTTAATTATTGACAATCTGTTGTCTAAAAAACATTTATCCAAGGCCAAAAAAGAATAAAGTTGTATAAAGTTAGCTTATATTTTTTCATTAACACCATGCCTATTGTGGATTTAAATGATATTTTATTTAGAATTAAAAGTGTTGTAAATGACATTGCTTAATAATATTGTGTCGGCGGTTGAAATTTTGAACTTTGTTAAAATTGTGGTTTGTTACATGAATGGTTTTATTGCATATAACATCTTATGAACCATTCATGTTATTTTTTCATTTGTAGAGAGAAGTTTTTCAAAGTTGAAATTGTTGAAGAATTACCTAATATTGTCAATATCACAAGAAATGTAAAATGGTATATATATATATATATATATATATATATATATATATATATATATATATATATATATATATATATATATATATTAGATAAAATTGATCTTGATACCATTATCAATTATTTTGCATCCAAAAACTCTAATAGTATTTTTCTTTAAATTTGTTGTTTTTTATAAAATTTTGTGGCTATATATGTGTTTTTGATTATACTGTTAATGATTTTTATAAATAATATGTGTTTTTGAAACGTTTGCTATATTTGACTTTGGAGTGACCTTTTTTTTCTTTTGGGAAAATAACTCTTAAGGGTAACTAACTATTGTGTTTGTTCTCATTTGATCTCTTTCCTTTTTTGTACTCAATATATCATCGAACTTGTTGTTTGTGTTCACCATAACCCTTTTGATCGGCTTTTGACCTGTGATAGCCGGTCAAAGGGTTATGGTGAACACAAACAACAAGTTCGATGGTATATTGAGTACAAAAAAAAAAAAAAAAAAAAAAAAAAGGAAAGAGACCAAATGAGAATAAATGCAATAGTTGGTTGTCATCCTTATTCATTTTCCATTTACTCATTTACAATAAATCTCACGTCATCTCCTGCTAATATTAATGACTTTATGAGATTCATTATTGTTTCTCTTCAAAACATAACACACGAAAGAACATTATTCATACATGTATAACTTTGTAACGCACTTGAATATTAATTAGGGGAATCTTGACTAAGCAGGTGCATTTCATGACTACATTTACATTTTCAATCAAATGATTTATCGTATCATGCATTTTAGACAAGTCTACAAATGAATGGAATCACAAGTGCTCTGCTTTTTTAGTTTACTTAGATTTAAGATCAAATTTATGGGATAAGATACAACATCAATATGTACAATATCATACAACTTTTGGAGACACATCACCATAATATACCTTGAGGTAAACATTTATGCTAATAAATATATTTCTCATACACAGTCATATCCTTTTATAGGGAGCTGTTGACAGCTAACCACAGTAAGTATAACATAAACCATGTTTTAACGTAGTTACCCCTCTGAAACGCTCTTCATATACGTTATAGTCAAAGAAGATTGCAATCTTTGATAATTTTGCAACTATAATTTCATTTAAAACTTTTTGGGGGAAATGACAGGGTAACCAACTGTTGAGTTTGTTCTCATTTGATCAATTTTTTTTTTATACTCAATATACCATCGAACTTGTTGTTTGTGTTCACCATAACTCTTTGACCGACTATCACAGATTAAAAGTCGTTCAAAAGGGTTATAGTGAATACAAACAACAAGTTCGATGGTATATTGAGTAAAAAAAAATGATCAAATGAAAACAAACGCAACAGTTAGTTACCCTCAAGAGTCATTTTCCCTTTTCTTTTCGCCCCGGGCCCAATTTATGTTCGGACCGACCTGATCTGATTATATGTTGAAAAATTCGGGTGTAGGATGAGAATTTGTTCAATGGGATGACTTACAAGTAACACTACAATTGGTCTTTGGTCATCCTTTCAAACCAAAATGACATATGGGTTTGGGATCTCGAGCAAACATGAATGTATTTAGTGTCGTCGACTGGAAGACTTATTGATAGCACTACTTTGATTTTCATGGATATTATAATTAGATGGGAGACTTATGTTCCAATCAAGCGGAATCTGATGGTGTGAAGAATGGGTTTAAATAAAGTGACGACTCTAGTTATTTTGGATAAAATGGGGATTAATATCACTTTGTCTTATATCCTATTTCTAATTTGTAAACTCCAAAATGATACGATTGACCACGTTGTTTTCCATTTATCCATTGTGTCATCTATCTGGAAACAAAATGTTGATATCCTACTTTTTATAGCATATCGGATTGTATTGTTTTGGTTGTGCAAGTGAACATAAATATTATTCAAAGAAGTAAAAAGAGTGCAAAGAAGTAAAAATGATGTGTATATGGATGTTATATATATGTTCAAAAAGAGTTTTATCATGTAATACCTTGAATTTTAGGATAAGCAAACATGCTACTATAAACACGGTGAAAGTAAGGGTAATACAAATTTTAATTATATCTAATTGGTAATATTGGAGGAAAACTCGCATGAAAAAATTGATCAAATTAAATTAAAGATTTTTAACGTATTATATTTTGATAAAAACATGCTGAAAGTTACCACCAATGGTAACAATCAGAAGTACAAGTAATATAGATTCATTTCAATTTTCTAACTTGTTGGCTACTAACTTGGGTTTGTTTGAGTTTGCTTTTTGTATGGGCCGGTATAATGTGATGCAGTATACTTTAACGTTCACTTAAGATTACAATATCAGAAATCAAAACCCAAAAGGTCCATTTGTCCAAAACTTCTACTTCTACTATAATTGGAACTTTGGAACTCTTGGATTCAAAATAAATCATGGATACAAATGGATCATAATTCACTCAATTCCTATCATAGCCATCACTCCTTTTGTAATTTGTTTATATTATTAGTATATAATACTACATATCATGTTATTAGACTTTAAGCCTATGTTGGGTTGTAAATGAACCAAATATTCAGTAAACCGTTTGGGAAAATTTTGTTTATGTTCGTTTATTTAATAAACAAACGAACATAAACAATATATCATGTTTGTTTGGTTAAACGAACGACGTGTGTGTGTTTGTTTGTTCAAGTTCACATCTATTTGTTTTGTTTTCACATCTAACAAAACTTGTTGCTTGATATGTAAAAAATATGTTGCCCTCTTGAATTATAAATTATTTAGTGAATGCAAAACAATTGTAAACATAGTTTATCACAAGATTTTAGAAGATTGAACTAATGACCAATTGCATGAAAGCTACGAAAAGAAAACGTTTATAAATGATGGTTTTATTTTTGACAGGTTTGGAAAAGAAATTTTTTTTTTTTGCAAGATTCAATAATCAACCTAAAATCACCTAAATTTACCGTCTACTAAATCATAATTGGCGAATATTCTTGATTTCACATGATTTATATTATAAACAAAAGAACATACGAAACATCAAATTGAGAATTTTTCATTGGATGGAAACTATGTCTAGACTTTTCCATGGGTGGCTTTACAGAATAAAAGTTGTTCATCTTTTAGGTTGGCCCTTTTCCCCCACCATTTTCCATGTTGCGATTGTTGATTGTGCTACTCCACTAGAAAAGTTATATATGTGTATTCAGCATTATACATATTTTCAATGTGCCCTTGATGAATGACATGAATCACATGTCACATGTAAAGATATTTAGTTACACTAATCCTTTAAATAATATATAATAATGCTTTCAAAAAACTTTAGGAACAATACCCATAGGAAACATAACATTATAACTATGGCATAAGTGATTATTTACTTATTTTTAAAACTGGAGTAGATTGAACTGAATGTAGAACTATTTTGTGAGGCTATTCAAGGCCTTTACACTGATGAAGAACACATTCAAGTTTTTTAAACAAATTCTAATCTGTGCAAACTGGTATTATGACATAAATATCAATCTATGGCATTTGATCTATAAGCTATGTGTGATCTGTAAGCTATATGGATGTAGATGATGGACCTATAGAAGTCTAGAACTTTGTATAGGACCATTTATGCTATACACCACAACTTTTCATCTCAGTGGTCACAACTCACAAGGTTTCTTTTGATCTCCTTATCTAACAATGGAAGTGGACATATTGAAATCAATCCATTATCCATTAAGTAATTTTTACTGAAGTTGGTGAATAAAGTTCAACAGTTCTATGAATTCTTTCGATGAAGTTGTATTAGATACATATCGATGATGTAAATTGAGGATGAAGATGAACATTCAAATTTCGAATATTAATAGGAAAATCATTTAGGTTGTCTACGAAGAATAGTATACACACTGCTTTCACTGCGAAATTCATAGAAATCAAAGTAGAAATTTAAGAAGATGTGATATATAACATATTAAATCCCAGAACCCTCGAACAGATGTACGATTAAGACAGAAATCCATAAAAGTCAAATGAACATACGCATCGATATTTTAGATCTGAAAAACAGATAAACAAGCACTCATCGAAATCAAAACCCTAGAAATTAACTGAGCAAACCGATAAAGATACAAATATGAAACCCTAACCGTTTGCAACAGCTCTAAGATTAGGCTTCCACGGTCGAGCTTTCTCCGTCCTGAGCAGAAGAATCGGTGGTGGCACCGTCCTTCTCATCTGGAGTCAGGGAGGCCGCTGATGAGGCAGATCTGGACTTAACGGTGTCAAGCATTCGCTTACTGATCTCTTTAGAGTAACATTGGAGGATCTCGATTCCGTCATCGTTAGCAGCGACAGGTGAGGCAGAGGCAGCATTAAAGGCGTCCTCCTCGATGCGACTGGCGACATCGGCGGCCTCATCAGCTGGTACTGTTCCATAACGATCGGAGAGGACAGATTTGTCGGAAAGTGTCTCGATGAGACGCTTGATGACGGCGTCACGAGTGCGTTGTGTTGGCGGCCAAATGCTGAAGCTCATCTTTTCCAGCTTCTTCACTGTCTCATCGACTGTCGGCTTCGCCTGTTTGACGGTGATATCGGAATCTTCTCCGGCGGCAACTGTTGTCGTTTGTTCCTCGGTTTGGTCCGTCATATTCTCTCTGAGTTTTGTTGTGTCGAAGACCGAGTTGGAAGTAAAGAAGCGAAAAAAGAGATGACACGTATATATTAAGGATATAATTTTTTTTACACCCCCTACACTATACTTTTTGGTTAAGATAGGTCCCTTACAAATTAATCCCTGAAAAATCCCACCCGTTAAGTACTATTACAACGTCCTCCCACAGTTTTTACTAAATATGTGTATTTTAAAACATGATTATATTGTAAGCCTGTACTTCTATTTATGCGCTTACATAATAAAACCAAAAGTGCTGGGAATTATTTTGAAATCTTATGTAAATTGAGGGACTAAGTCCAGAGAGAGAAGTTTGCTGAAGACTCAAGTATGGCCCAATTGTATGGTGTTTTAAAACGACTGTTCACCGAAGAGAAATCCGGTCATTCACGTTGTTTTATATGGCTAAGACATATCAATATAATCATGTAACACATTGTTAGAGAAGATATTTTAATTTATAATTTGATTTTCATCGTGTAATCATTAAGTCGTTTAGTAATCAAATTAGATGATGTTTTGTACCAAAAAAACCTTGTACTTTGATATGGCTAAGACATATCAACGTATATGATTTAGTTAAACTATAAGTCTTCGACCCTCCTAATATTTGATTATGCGTATAGGACGCCTTCTCTATATATTTATCATCTGTTTTTAAAGAATTTATTATCATTTCATTATGATAGCGGTGTACGTGAGGTTGAAATTGAAAATGACAAGTTTTTTTTCTAGGGATTCCTTACCTGAGATTGTCGGTGGAATTCTTGTGTTTGTCGATAATGGTCCAGGTGACAAGGGTTTTAGAAATAGTGGGAGTATGTCGAATCTGTATTGCAACTAATTGCATAGTTGACAAGGGTTTTAGAAATAGTGAGAGAATGTTTAATGTTCTGTATTGCAACTAATTGCATTGTTCTTTGGTCTACAATTGAGAAGGATGATCAAGTGAAAGTGCTAACAAAGAAGTGAATATTAAAAATGATCAGTTGTTAATCGAATTGAAGTGGAGATTGTAAAAGGATCAGAAAATATGGTAACGGAATAGCTAATTTCTACAACCGTGAGGAACATATAGATGGGCCCGGAATGGTTTTGGTTGAATAATTAGATTCAAATATATAACATGAAGCATGTTCCTCGTATAATTGTCATAAGATGCAAAGTCATTTTTTATCTCAAACATAATATTTATCTGTTGCATAATGGATATAATGTTGTACTAATTTTTCATCAACAATTAATGGAGCTATGTATATATCCATGTCAGCAAGTAGCAGTTAAAAGTTAGTTAACATTTCTTTTGTGTTATAGTTAGTTGATTAGATTGGGTTGATATTAGTGGTGTAAGTTAGCCTAGCTTGTAAAATATATTTGTAACTTGTATTCTGCAATTGAGTAATGAGAAAAAGATTTTCAGCTCTTCAACTGATTCATCTCAAAATCATAATATGGTATCAGAGATCTTTCTACTCAATTTTTTTCTTCAAAATCGATTCTTGTTCTTCTTTCAAATAGATTTGATTCATTGATTGATTCTTCATTTTTTTTCTCGATCAATTTTGGCTTGTTCATCAATTGATCCTTTTATTCCTTATCGGTTGATCTTTGTTCATCAATTGAATTCTCGTTGATCATTATGGCTGATAACGCAAATGACAATCCAAATCAAAACGTTGCAAATGATCTATATTCTCTTCATTATTCTAATAATCCAGGCTTAGTTCTTGTCTTGCAGATTCTCACTGGTGAAAATTATGCATCATAGAGCAGATCTATGACAATTTCATTGTCTATAACGAATAAGATGCAATTTTTTTATGGAACTCTCCCAAGCCCAACTAATTCTGATCCAGTGAAGCTCAAATCATGGATTAGAAATAATAACATCGTTATATCTTGGCTGCTCAATTCAATTTCTAAAGAAATTTCTGCTTTGGTGATATATCTGGATACAACCAAGGCAATTTGGAATGATTTCAATAGAATAACAGTCCAAGAGTTTTCCCATTCAAGAGAGATCTCATGAATCTTATTCAAGGTCAAGCTTCTATTAGCAACTACTTCACAAAGCTAAAATTCATATGGAAAGAGTTTGTTAATTACAATGTTAACTGCACATGTGGTAAGTGTATTTGTGGTGGTGCTAGATAATTTGAACAAACTATAGGTTTTTGTAGCACCTAGTTTCCGGTATGTGAATTTTATTTGAGTATTGCCCTATTTTAGCCTTGGACTCGGCGAGTCACTAGGTCCGACTCGCCGAGTAGGGACGAGACGCAGGACACGTTTAAGTTGGCGACTCGGCGAGTCCATATCCTGGACTCGGCGAGTCACCGCTGTTGGATGAAACCCTAAGTTTCAGGGGTTTGCACCCTATTTAAACCCCATATCTGCCCCTTGCCAGCCCCCATTCACCCCCAGAGCTCCCAACCCTCGTCCTAACTCGTCCTAAGCTTGTTCTTGTGAATTTGAGGCTCTTGTGTGCATTCTTGAAGGTTTTGAGGCAAGAAGGGGAAAGAGATCAAGAGGAAGGAGAGCCATCCAAGCATCATTGTGTTTTTCAGCTGTTTCATTGAGGTATATCTCGTTTTCCCCCTATTTCTATGCTTAAGATTTCATTTAAGACACTCTTGAGCAATTCCTCAAGCTTGTTTGTGCTTAATGTTTCGTAATAAGTGGATGGGCCTTTAGATCTAGGCAACATTGAGCTCCAGGAGCTCAGATATGTTAGCTTTATGGCCCCATGTGGCTTGTTCATCCTAGATCTACCCTTTTGAGGCATTTTGAACCCTAAAATCCATGTTAGTGAGTATCCACACGTAAAGTTGGAAACTTTACGTGTGATTGATGTCCTAGAAGTCCAGATCTATGAATGGCATGAACTGAAATCGAGTAAATCGGTGTATTTGGTGGATGCATGGTGACGACTCGGCGAGTCGTATAGGTGACTCAGCGAGTCTGGTCGCGAGTCACCGAATTGGTCCCTTCATGACGTATCGAGTTGAGCCGTGAGTCACAGGGGGTGACTCGGTGAGTTGGGAGCTGAACTCACCCATGTTAGGACTCGGCGAGTCAATGCCCTGACTCGGCGAGTCCAAGGCAATCTTCATAGATCAAGAACAGACTCGGCGAGTTGTTCATACAACTCGGCGAGTCTTAGCATAAAGTGTTCTTCGGATGAAGATGAACTCGACGAGTTGTTCATACAACTCGGCGAGTAGGATGAAGAGGTTGAACGTCAGTCTAGAAGATGAACTCGTCGAGTCATAGCCTAACTCGACGAGTAGAAACAGGGACTCCCGACAATCGTCTGATAGGGACTCGACGAGTTGGAGAGCCAACTCGGCGAGTCGGGTCAACTGGAAGTTGACTCTAACATTGACTTAGAGCTAGACCGGGGGTAAAATGGTCATTTTACCTAAATGACAGTTAGTAGTGTTTGATTGAGTATGTTGTGGGAATTGCAGGCGGAGGACTCCCGGAGCAGCAGTAGTCAGTTAGTTCCCGATCAGTTCAGCAGCTACTTTGAGGTGAGTTACCTTCCAGTAGTGGTGGGCCTAAGGCCACAATGCCGGCCCACCAGTAGGGGACGTATGATAGATGATTGTCTTTGTGATATCATCTAGGTTTGCTATTACCTGTTATGTTATATGCTCTCATGATACGTTATATGCAATAGTAATAGAGTTCGGTTGTTAGGACCGCAGGGTAGTCAGACACCCCAGAAACATCTGACCGTATGTGATGGTATGCTTGTATGTTGGCCTGTTATGTTATGCGATAGAGGTAGCGGGAGGGGACCAGTCCCCGAGGATCGGTTGTTAGGACCGATGGGTAGTCAGCACCCCAGAATGGCTTGACATGGGTAGTCAGCACCCCAGAATGGCTTGACACGGGTAGGACGGCACCCCAGAATGGCCGTATGGGTAGGTCGGCACCCCAGAATGGCCGTACCAGGTAGTCAGGCACCCCAGAATAGCCTGGCAGTATTTATGTTATGTGTTTGCATGGTGTGTGGTACGTTGGGGGAACTCACTAAGCTTTGTGCTTACGTTTACAGTTTTGTTTTCAGGTACCTCTGCACCGAAGGGAAGGAGCCGGCGCGGTAGCGGCACGTCATGCACACACTCTGTCTTCCGCATTTACGAGAGTCACTGGGATTGTACTCTGATATTTTGATGGGATGTATGGTTTGACCTTTTAAAACATGGTTGCGATGTGTTATGGTGTGATCAACAATGTTTTTATTTATTAATGTTTTCTAAAGTAATATTTTAAAATGAAATTTTCGGACGTAAAAAATTGGGTCGTTACAAGTTGGTATCAGAGCCCTGGTTTGAGGGATTCGGACACGCCTTCGGAGGTGTCTGAACTCAAATCGAGGGATTGAAAGATTTTTCGAAAGAAAATGTTCTCTAAAACTTGGAAAAGAGTCATAAGAAAGAGCGAAGTGTGTGACGTGCGCGACCGGCCGAGCTCAAGTAAGTATTCCCCATAGTACCCATACAAGTTTATGTTATGTTTATCAGCTTACGTAGAACTGCATGCTAGAATAGGGCTAAGGATCTAGGAGTGATGCCTTATGTGCCTGCTTATGTGTTACAGCTTTATGAATATTGCATGCTAGAATTGAGTAGACAGCAGTAGGATAGCCTGTTTAGGTTATGCCTGATAGTATGAGCTTAGCATCCTATGTTAAGTGTCGTTTCTTGTTATAAGGATAGTTTTGGCTTGAGTCTGTTTCCCCTTATCCGAATGCTGCTTGCTTCGTGCTTGGTGGGGTTCTGAGTAATGGGAGTTAGCCACTAGGTAAACACGTCACACCACATGTAATCAGGGTTGAATAATCCCAAAGTATTGGAACTGGCCCTATTGCGCAGCTCTTGTTTGAGTCCAACCGTTGTAGGGACGGATCTTTTACTTGAAGGATTATCTAATCCTCGTCCCATGTGATGGTGTTTAGGTGGTGGCTA